TGAGCTCGACTCCAAATCCAAGAGAAAGTAGAGATGTACAGCCAAGAAACGGGGAGGAGTCAGTGGATAGAAAATGACTAAGAGGACACATCAGAGGTTATGGGGATCTGGATAAAACAAACTAATAAGATTCTTGCTGAAGCAGGCCGGGGTGGTCACTTGTCACCTGGGCGATGAGAAATCCACCAGATACCAAGGGTTGGGGATTCTGGCTAAAATGATATAGCGAGATTCCTGCTAAAATTAGACAACGCAGAGATAAACATGGAAGCCCAAAAACCAAGGCCCAGTTGAGACGATAATTCAGGAGAACCTGGCTAGACTTGGGTCAAGGGGAGCATCTTAGCAGAGGACAGTGGCCCCAACCTGGAAATATCGGTGTTTTGAGCTGGAAGAAAGTCACCAAGCCTGGAAAGGAAGGGCCCGATGGGGACCACGTAAGAAGCTGGCGGCAGAGCCAGGCCCGAGCTGTGCTTCCTGGACCTCGCCCGGGGGCAGGCGCTGCTCCTCAGGGAACCGGCTCTGGGGAGGACTGAGCCCTGGCTGTGAAATCAGAAGTCCAGACTCGGTCCCGGTCCTGGCTCCATCAGCTCTGTGCCTTTGGCAGATGGCTTAACCCCTCTGAGCCTGGACTTCTTGGAAGTCAGACGAGGAGAGAGTGGAACAGGCACTCCGGGGTCTGTGAAGTGCTCACAAGTCTGCAGTCCTAGTCAGAGTGGATGTCACTTAGTTATCTGCGTTCTCTGTCCCAGTCTCCAGGGAGTGGCACTTGGGGTGGGGGCAGTTTCCATTTCAGGCTCATGAAAGACACCTGCTATCATGGATGTCCGCCTCCAGCTTTGCCTGGGGACCCACAGGCGTAGCAGGGTTCAGCACACCTGGACCACTCCTGCTGGCTCCAGAGAAAGACACCCTCGAGAAGTTCTGGGGAAACTGGGCCCAGGGCATGATCACACCTGTCCCTGCAGCCAGAACAAGGGTCCCGCCGGGTCTGGGGGTGGGTGGGGGCAGGGGTGGAGGAGAGGAAGCAGGGCGGGAGGGCGCTTCCCTTTCTTCTCCTCAGTCCTAGAGGCTCCAGGCATTCTGTTTTTTTCCCCAATCCATGGCGCCAGTCCCAGTTTGGCAAATGACCCTTGGAGAGACCAGGGCAATGAAGCTGGAATAGCTCAGGCACAGGAAAACGGCAC